CCTGGGCAGTGCCAACCACCCTCTGGGGGAAGAACCTTGTGCTGAGCTCCAACCTGAGCCTGCCCTGGCACAGCTCCAGCCCTTCCCTGGCCCCTGTCCCTGTCCCAGCCAGCAGAGGTGGGAGCTGCCCCTCGGGAGGAGCTGCAGCCCCCGCTGAGCTCTGCCCTCCTCTGCTCCAGCTGCACCAGCCCAGTGCCCTCAGCTGCTCCTCACGGCCCCTCCAGGCCCTTCCCCATCCCCGTAGCCCTCCTACACAGCCCGGTGGATCCGCCCAGGCCTGAAGACACCCTTGCTCAGCAGGACCAGCACAGTTAAGGAGGGCAAACAAACACCTGCCAGGCACAGGAGCTGTGTCAGTGGGACACAGAGCACATTTTGGCTCCCAGGGTTGTTATTGACAGCCGAGGACAGAAAGAAGAGCAACCTGATCCAGTGAATGGCATCCCTGCCCATGGCGGGGGAGGAGATGGATGATCTTTAAGGTCCTTTCCAACCCATCCCATTCTGGGATTCTGTGAGCAGGACAGGTGTGTTGTTTCATACTTTAAAGTATGTGCCTCCTCCTCCTCCTCCTCCAAAAAAAATCACATAGGAATAGCATTCCAGGACTCCGTGTTCATTATGTGCCAGCGCTCAGGATCAGTTTTACAGACAAAAGGACGTTCTGTGAGAGCTCAGGAGCTGGTGCTGTGGTTTTGACCAAGGTCTTGACCCATCATCTTGTGCTCTGAGTGTGACAGGAGTTCTTAAAATCCTAGAATGCCAGAACGGTCTGGGTTGGAAAGGAACCTAAAAATCATCTCATTCCACCCCCTGCCATGGGCAGGAACACCTTCCACCAGCCCAGGTTGCTCCGAGCCCCGTCCAACCTGGCCTTGGACACTTGCAGGGACGGGGAGTCCACAACCTCTCTGGGTTAAAAAGCCCTGCCCCCTCCAAAAGCAATCGCTGTCGTGCTGTCAGGCACTCGGAAGCCGTAAATCAGCAAGTTTCGGTGGGTGATTCACAGCACCAGCTCAGCCCGTTGCTTGAGGTCACCGAGCAAAAATCACCTCCTAGTTTCCCTACAACAGACAGAACAATCCTCGCCGCGCCGGCTGAAAGCAACCCCCCCCCAAGATTTCCGTAACGCTGCTCAGAAAACGCTGCATTAAAAGCCCAGAACTGAAAGCAGAGCGCGGGTCCCGCAGTCCCTGAGAGCTGCCAGGGAAAGCCATGTGCGGGAGATGCCCGTGGAGCACAGAGGGAGCCGGTTCTCCCTGTGTCACTGCAGGTCAGACACTGCCGCCTGCTCCCAGCCAAGAGGCTGCGTGGCCAAATCCCAGTATGATACAGCATGTTCCTGGAAGCCTCGGGAAGGAGCAGCAGGATGTGAGTCAGTGGCCGTGGCGCGGGATGGCGGCGGAGCCGGCAGCGAAGCGGGAGGAGCAGGTACACCTTGGATCAGCCAGCCTGCCCCATTCCCACCTTCCCACTGGAGCAGGTACACCTTGGATCAGCCTGGCTGCCCCATTCCCACTGGAGCAGGTACACCTTGGATCAGCCAGCCTGCCCCATTCCCACCTTCCCACTGGAGCAGGTACACCTTGGATCAGCCAGCCTGCCCCATTCCCACTGGAGCAGGCACACCTTGGATCAGCCTGGCTGCCCCATTCCCACCTTCCCACTGGAGCAGGTACACCTTGGATCAGCCAGCCTGCCCCATTCCCACTGGAGCAGGCACACCTTGGATCAGCCAGCCTGCCCACCTTCCCACATTCCTGCACTGCTGCCTGCAAATCCTCTCTCCTCGCTCACCCCTCTGCCCCCCAAACGACACTTGCCTGCTTCCAGCTATAACTACTTGAACAAACTACCCTCAACGAGGGATTTTTCCCAAGCCGGGGCTCGGGGAAGAGGAAGGAGCCAACCCCGAGTGCCGAGCGGCCAATTAGCAACTATTTAGGCCAATGAAAACCCCACCACCACGCTCGGCAGGGCGAGCATTGCGACACCGCTGCTGCCTCTGCCAGGCTTTTTTTTTTTTTTTTTTTTTTTTTCTCCTCGAGTTGCACGAATTTCTGTCAGTCGTAACCCAGCAGACCCCGAAAGCCTCGCGGCTTTGCAATTCCTGCACCGTCCTGGCGAGCGCCTGAGAGGCAGCAGCTGGCAGGAGACACGGGTGGAATGAAAGCCGGGATTAGCTGAGCGGTGTCGAACTCGCGGGCAGACAAGGAGAAGAATCGGGATCCTTAATTGCTTCGAAAGGCTTTTCTGAGCCTGGGATTTGTCCACCTCTCCCCCTCCTCTGATTTGCTGATCTTTCCAAGGGGAAGCAGTTGTGTGGTTTTTTTTTTTTTACGGTGTGACTTTCCCTTCCTCGGAGCGCAGGGCAGGAATGGTCGTGACCGGACTTGTTCGTCCCCGGAGGGGTCTTGCCCAACAGAGGAAATGGCACTGCGAGCGCAGGAACGCTCCGTGCGCTTCTGAGCTCGGGGATAAAGATGCCCTTAAAACTTCGGTCTGGTGTTTCCTCCTTTCCTTCCCCTCTCTGCCTCTCTTCCCGCTTGGCCTTCCGAGCCCCAGCGGCTCCAGGTGAAGGAATGGGAAGCACGAGGGATTGGGAAAGCTCTGGCGGGGGAGTCTGACCTACTCTCCCGCCAGGAGCAAGGCATCCGAAATGACTCAATCTCCCTCCCTCGGGACCCAGCAAATCCTCGGCCTTAACGCAGCACCGCGGAAAGGTGTGTCATCATCCCCCCAGCAGCTGAAAGAATTAGTCAGGAGCTTAAATAAAGGGGGACTTTCCAAAGGACAGGCTCGCCACCGGCAGCGGCAGCACCGCACCAGGCTGGTGTTCTCGGACCTCTCGGCGCTGGAACACGAGGAGCTGGAAAATTACAGAGCAAACTGTAAAATTCCACCGGCGGGCTCCCCTTGCCCTGCAGGGTGGTTTCCCCTCCGTGTGCCAGGCTCTGCAAAGCGGTGTCACCCCGCGGAGCCACCTCCCAGAGCAGCAGCTGGGAGGGCCACCCGAGGTGGGTGCGGGCTCTGATTTGCCCCCAGGGCGAGTTTTTTTTTCAAAGCCTTCTGATTTCCACGGGAAATTCGTAGGGGATGAGCGTTCCCTCCTCTCCCCGCGGCCTCGGGAAGCCCCTTTTAGGTTGCTGACAGGGGTTATTCTGGTGGAGAACAACAGGGACGGATCCCTTGTGTGTCTGGAAGTTTTAGGGTGGGGGTAGTGGGGTGGAAGAGCCCCCCAAATCCCCTAGCTATTCTCTGGGAGAGGGATCTCTGGCAGTGACCTCCTACCTCAATGTTTGCTTTCATTTCATTTCAATATTCCTGTGGTTTTGTGGGGCGTTGCAAAGGCTGGAGAACTTCTAGAGGCGTTTGAGCCTCTAAAAAAAAAACAAAAAACCTGTGGGATAGGAGAGTGAGGGAGTTTCTCCACACTAAAGCATCGCACTCCTGAGAATAAAGAAGGAAAATATCAGCCTCAAGCAGAAACCTTTCCAAAAAAATGTTGCCGAGGCTGTTTGTTCTACCTGTGATGGTGTTTATAGGAGGAATTTTTTTCTGCCAGCTTCTCTTCAGAAAGAGCTGGCAGGGGAGGGAGAAAACCAAACAAGTGCATCCCAGTGGATCGTTTGAATTCCTTCACTCCCATCACATCCATGCCAAGGAAGTCGGTGCTCCCATGACAGCCAAATACCCGGACACGCTACCAAAGGCAGCTGCTCCAG